ATGGGACGGCCCTAGCTGTCTCATGGGACACCATGGGACGGCCCTAGCTGTCCCATGGGACACCATGAGACACGTGGGACGTCCCAGGGCTGTCCCATGGGACGTCCCACGTGGGCTCCCAATAATGTAAGTACCCCAGAACTTTGGACGTGCTTCGAAGTTTGAGATAATCTCGCTCGCACCTCTGGGCGCACCAGGTCAACAGCTCGGAAGCAGAGCAGTGGTACAAGACGATGCTGGACTATGTCAAGTCAAGCCTGGGCTCCGGACACCTCGTCGCTGCAACAACAGTGTTGCACAATCAGGCACGATTCTTGGAGTCCCAGGTGAGCTATTGAATAGGTACTCCTGCACCGATAGCATCTCCGTTTTCTTGCAGTTAGAGGTTCAGAGTGCGACGGACTGCACGGCATGTAACACTGTTGACAGCAGTGGAACCTCGTCAATTGTATTGGATATCGCTTGAAGTGTCGAAACGTTTCGTAAATGTGATGCAGGAGCGGTATGCCGAGTCCGCATCACTCTACGTGGAATCACACGCCATTCGAGTGAAGGTCCCTAACTAATTCCATTTTGGATTCATTCGTGGTACGTCGGTAACTTCCGATTCATTAAAAAATTCAAGGGTTTACTCGGTAATATTACCGCCGTCAAATTACCCCCGTGGTGGGCGGTTCCGGTAATCCTCCGTTTTACCGCGTTATTTTTTTTTTACCGCTCCGCCAAAGTCGTTACCGCAGAAAAACGCGGTACCGCCTTCCGCCAAAACCATTACCTACCGCCGTGGCGTTACCGCCGAAAAATTACCGCCGTTTTTTTGTTTCACCGCCTCCGCCAAAGTCGTTACCGCCGAAAAATGCGTTTCCGCCTACCGCCAAAACAATTACCGCTGTTTGGCGTTGCCGCCGAAAAAATACTCTCATATAGGTCTGTTACCGGCTATGGACGGTTCGAGTGACTAAAGGTCTAGCCTCGGCCGCCATGCTAGATCACTGAGCGTCAGCAGTCCGGATCCGCACGTGGACTTGCTTGTTTTTTTTTCCGAACATATTTATCATTTTTCAAAGATTGTTTCCATCTATTCTTTGGTTCTGAAGTTTGGTTCGGGTTCGTTTGTCAGTTTTTCCGTTTGTATGTTTTTATTTTTTTACATCGTGGTGAATACGACAAAACACTCCATGAAAGTACATTGTCAATCTTCGGAAAGGAGGATTGCCATCTGTTCGGACGCCGCAGCTCGGCACCGCACTTACGGCCGGCCTTGCTTGGTGTCGCTTGAAGTTTGTTGTGGCCATATGTAAATATGGCAATGGCACTCATTACCGCCGTGGTGGGCGGTCCCGGTAATCCTCCGTTTAACCGCGTTTTTTTTGTTTTACCGCCTCCGCCAAAGTCGTTACCGCCGAAAAACGCGTTACCGCCTTCCGCCAAAACCATAATTTAAAGGAGGTGAAGCCGTGGGTGGTAGCTTGCTCCTAGAGATTGATGAAGGTAGGTTCTGTCGTTGACACGCTTGTCCACGACCACGTTGAGATGGGAAAGTTGCTTGTTATTGCTGAGAGACGATCAGCAAGGGTCTGAGGTGAAGCGGGGATCCAACTTCACCTCAGGGGGTACACAGACTAGACAATTCTAAGAGGGTAGGGGTCTGAAGGGTATACCTCCTGGGACCGACCCACATCCTATCAACAATAAGATGTACCCTATTCAAGCTAGCAGCCACACTCCTTAGTACTAGCCCACCCTGAACATCATATATGCAGATTCTATACTCAAATCAATGCTCAAATCCTAAAAGCTACAATAAAGATTTAGCTAACGATTTATGCTCATGAATCGAAGATATGACTCTTCACAAAACATCTACACGGGGGGTGAGTTGTAGAAATATCCCGAATCAACCCCCACACCATCATTGAGACGAAAGATGGATGCGAACGGTCAAGAGACCACACATAGATATCTCAATGACAACGCTCATACCAAGGAAGGGACCAAGAAGAATATGTAGTGCTGCAGAGCACGCTATCCCCAACAGACGACGACAAGGAAAACAAAATCAAAGCCCAAACGCCACACACCACTCATTTACGCGCACCCGCGCGTATGACAACGGGAGGAATGAGGGTGACTACACGAGGGAGTCCAAAATACGGCAACAAAACTCAACACCCAAGCAAACTTCCCAACGAAAACGACCTTTGATACTGGACGCGACGTAAAAGGGAAAAACTCAACGCAATGTAGGAAAACGTCCAGGGAGGGCAGGAGAAATGAACGACAGGCAAACGCACCGAGAACAATTTCCAGCGTGTCAAGGAACCCAAACCGTATAGAGAGGTGGCAACGGCAAAACCTAAAGAAAACCAAGGATGCAAAGCATGAATGATCAATGTCGGAGAAGCGATCTGACGAACCGCGCCCTGTCTCGCTGGCGATACACAACATACAAAAAACACAGAAAAGTCGCAGAGATACACACAACAACACAACGACTCAGGGGCTCGACGATGATGAAGGCGTCGCCGGCATGTAGCGACGACGGAGACGAAGTAGAACGAAGTGTGGATGACGACGAAAGTCCACGGGAGAAGACAACACAACGGGATGGAATCCCGAAGCAATAAGCATAGGCGACACGTCTGCGGCACGATGGAGCTAAAGGAAAAAATAAAATAAAAATTAGTTGGCTAAAGGGCGAACCAGGGGAACACGGGGAACTCGGTTTCCAAGTGTTCAGAGGAAAACAACACCGACGAAACTTGGGGAACTCTTTTTCCAAGTGTTCAGAGGCAAACAACACCGACCAAACTTGGGGAACTCTTTTCCCAAGTGTTCAGAGGCAATCAACACCGACCGAACTTGGGGAACTCTTTTCCAAGTGTTCAGAGGCAAACCACACCGAGGAAACTTCGGAGGAAGCCCGTCGGGAGAACCAAATACCAACAACAAAAGAGAGAACGTACATCCAGGTCGCGGCAGTTAACTGATTCAGACGAATTCATGCAACAAGGAAGAAGGTTCACTCGACACCGCGCGTCTTGAGGCGGTGTTGCCCCGGCATCCAAACACAAAATAAACCAACAAAAGAAAAGAGACAAGAAAAAACACAAAACAAAAACCAAAATAGGCCAACTCGTACACGAAAACGACGACGCCAAGGAGAAATATTGGGAACAGCCGACGGTAAGGAGTAATGAGAGGAGTGCGACCACGGGTGTCGCCCAAAGGGCGCCAACGATGTTTTTCTAAACACCATGATCCACAGACGGCGTCCACGGCGGTGGAGTAGAGGTGCGCAGGCAGAGGGAGAACGCTTGGGCCCGGGTCATCCAGCAATCGAACGATGTACGAGCCGTCCTGATGAGCACCAATACGTCCGGTCCACCACAATCGATCGCGGGCCTTGTACCACAGCCGCGCTCCCACCGGGAGGGGCGACGTGCTGAATCGACGGAGCCAAGTCGCGTGAAGCACAAGATCAGCCCCAGGAGGCAAATAGCGTTCTCCACGATTCCGGGCTAGATCCCGTTGTGCCGCGCGTGTCCGAGCCACTCGATACGTACGGTTACCCTGCTTGCTTTGGCAGACCTCGCGAGACCAGTACAAGAGGATGTGTCGACGGAATTGATCGAGGTCGGATTCCCGTTCCCACGAAGGAGTAGTCAGGCCTAGCCAATGCGTCTGGTACAGGACAGTGAGAACGCCGCTACGGCCCCGCACCAGTTGACGTCCCGAAATGTAGTCGACCTCAAGGCGGCCCGACAGGCACCGACACATCATCCGCGGTGACGTGAAACGGTGGTCATTTATCTCCGAAATAGTGCAGAACATAACGCGAAAGCTCAGCGGGCAGAGATTGTGGCAGGTCGTCCGTCTCGTATGGATTGCGACAGGACTTGCAACGAAGGACAGACACGTGACATCGAGCTGCTGGGCCGGAAAGATCGGAAGGCAGGTCCAGGTAGAGGAGTTTTCGTGCCAACGGGCTTCCATCTGGGGTGGCGTCGGCAGAAGCGGGACCCACCGCAAGAACTTTGTAGGGCCCCGTCCAGGAAAGTGCGAATTTGGCCTTGAGCACCTGTTGATCCGTGTCCTTCCGCACACCCTGTCGAATCGTAGCAGCTGTGTTGTAGACCCAAGCCCACCCGCCAACGGTAAATTGAGGGAGCTTGTGGATGGCGTCCAGCAGGGATGAATATCTAGTCGCCAAAGACGCGGCAGGAGACATCCCTCCCGCGGGACGTAGCAGGAGTCAAAGGGGAAACAGTCACTGAAGATTCGGGAACAGGCGCCGCTGACGCCAAGTTTATAGGAGGTGAAGCCGTGGGCGGTAGCTTGCTCCTAGAGATAGATGAAGGTAGGTTCTGTCGTTGACACGCTTGTCCACGACCACGTTGAGATGGGAAAGTTGCTTGTTGTTGCTGAGAGACGATCAGCAAGGGTCTGAGGTGAAGTGGGGATCCAACTTGGGGTACACAGACTAGACAATTCTAAGAGGGTAGGGGTCTGAAGGGTATACCTCCTGGGACCGACCCACATCTTATCAACAATAAGATGTACCCTATTCAAGCTAGCAGCCACACTCCTTAACAATTACCGCCGTATGGCGTTACCGCCGAAAAAATACCGCCGTTTCTTTGTTTTACCGCCTCCGCCAAAGTCGTTACCGCCGAAAGACGCATTACCGCCTACCGCCAAAACAATTACCGCTAAATGGCATTACCGCCGAAAACCTGTCCCCCTCAAAAAACGTTACCGAGTAAACCCTTGAAAGATTTGAGCACATGGAATTTTATCGGAGAAAATCAATCCTCGCCATATTTTACATTTTACCTGTTCAGCGCGATTTCAAGTGATATCTGACCCTGTGGTTGCCGCCTCGCTAAAGTTCCCGCGAGTGTGGTGGCACTAACGACTCATCAAATGCACAAATACAATACGTAAACGAACCGGTGACCCGCATGGCTGTTCTACCCTAGCAATCCTGCCATTTTCCAACACAGACAGGCACAGCGAACATCCACACGATCTCATCCCAAATCAGAGACAATCACGATGTGAACACCCAAATTGTCCGAGGATCTCTACTACTGCACAGGGCGACTCTCGGCAAGACGCACTCACCCCCAACAAGACAAGTGACGAAAAGTCGTCTTACAACAAAAAATTATTTAGCAGAATCGAGAGCACAACAAAACCAACAACGCGCTACAACTCTGAAATATAGTGTCGTTTTAGAATGCCGGAACTTTAGTGTCGTTTCCTCGATATGATCGATGAGTAAGTATGGTGTTGGCCAAACATATATTGTGGCGGTTTTCCACAACCTTGTTCAAGATGGAAGCATGTGAAAACTCGATCCGAAAAGCGGGGATGGTTCGATATCATCCCCCCCAGGGATGACCGGGATATATCCCGATTTACTACCGGTAGGATATTTGACATTTTTCAATGCGGATACACAGAGTAAAATATGTCAACAATCAACACAAGAAGTAACATAGCAGCAACAACTCACGGCGCGAAACTCAACAGTTCAGTTGTAATCACGCGCATAGTAACGCCTATGGTGCTTGCGGTGGCAGCTTCTCGGCAGAAAGAGTCTCATCGCTTCGGTGAGCAGCGCCGGCCAAAGCGGCGGAGTCCTCCACTTGTTGCCCCTGCGATCTCTTTTCAGCGCACACCCGCCTGCAGTCGCTGATAAAGCTGGTGAACCCTAGAGGGAGGGCAATCTTTGTGAAGGCGCACCGTGAAAAGCAGGCACACCACCCAAAGGGAACAACGAGAACGGCGACGAGGGCGGGGAGAAAGGTCACAATAGCCAGTGATTGTCGTTTCAGTACGCTCAAAAGAGCCGTTTGGCGACCATTCCTCCGTCTTTCCATTCTTTGGCGACACTAACATGCTTGTCACCGACGCCGCCACGGGACGAGAAGCGGGTCACGTGCGCGGGTATCGCGGCCCCAAAGAAACAAATATCACGTTGTGTATGTACGTACGTTTTCGTGTGCTACAAAATATCATGTCGCAAATCCCATGCAGCATTTCTCGATAGTATCTTCTGTGCCGACACAATCTACTCTAAACCTAGTCACGCCCATAATTAATTCGAAAGTGCGGTAACTAAATCCTGACTGGTGATACATGTTGCTATGGCCTATTCTCGAACGTCCGTAAGGTTGGCGTACGTAGCACACCCTTCTGTCGATCAAGCTCAATGCGCACCTCTGTGAGACAGAGTGTACCGACTTGTCTGACCGCCAGCGCGATGTGCCTGATTTGAAAAGCCTGTGGCGACAGTTGGTGACGAGACAAGACATGCGTTTTTTTTGTTAGAACACGGACGGAACCTTCAACCGCGGAGGCAGCAGTGACGGAAATCTTAACGCGTGGACTTCACGCTATGGCTTCCGAAAGCTATCCACGAAAGAAAGGATATCCCCGACGCCTCGTGTTTTGTTGTTTCCGTCTCCCGCCACAAAACAATGATATCATCCGCAACTAGTGTCGAACACCCGGGCCTTGCACAGATCGTTCTGTTCTCGGGGTGATGAGCCACGGGATCAACCGCAAGGCCATTATATATCACAACCATTTCGACAGAAACGGAAATCGTACAAATGCCTCTCCCTCGAAAACTACATACCTTATCGGCTTCATAGGAGTCGCCCTGCAAAGCAAGCACGACAAGCAGCGTGGTGATCACGTGCGCGGCGGCAACGCATATGGTGCATATAATGCTCCGACCGATCACTCTCCGATAACTCGCTCCTCCTTGTGGGGTGCTTCCTTGGAGCGCCAGCATGGGCTTAATAAATAGGCCCAGGAGCAGCACAAACTTGTGGGGGGGCATTGGCAAGGAAAAAGAAGGAGAACAATGGGAATACCGGTAACATTGATTGATGTGTCGCAGATCCACTTGTACACACTACCCCGTCCCCCAAACTGGGGACAAAATGCTGGGAAGGAGCGCCCTGTGGGGGGCTACAGTAGATGGGCGGGGGTCGTATGAGGACGCCCTCTGCAATCGCAACCTCACAACACTGTGCAAGCGATTCCGGCTCATCTACTCTGAGCCCACATGTCACTATTCGACCAGTCCTTGCCACAGTAGTCAGCCCGTGTCAAACAAAAGCAGGATCACAACACGGCGGTGTAGGCTCATGACTGGAGGCTCCTTTGCTGAACATGATTTTCCGAAAATTAGAGAAACGGTGTATTGAGAGGAGGCTCCCGCCATTTTACATGTTCAAAGTTGCTTCCTTGAACCACTACCACCATCGGTCAAACCGTTGTACCAACAGTGCCGGGAGCTAATCCATAGAACGCCGCGGTACAAGAGATGAGAGCGGGTCAGAGGTTGCAGAACCCTGTTGTGAGTCGGAGTCCTCGCCATAGGCAAGTCCCTGGTCATTCTCCCGCCTACACGCCTCATCTCTTGCGTGTCGATGAAGTATGTAGCCTTTGATTTCTAGTGGTGGGAGGGGCGAAAGACGGGGCGCACGAGGAGAGTCCTCTCGCTCTCTTAGACGTGATGCTCTCTCCCGATCTTTTCCCGAACCAGTTCAGAGGTAAGCGGGCCCCCTCGCCCTTTGCGAACCGCCTGCTGTAGCGCGGCAATAGCGTTCTTCATCTACGTGCCCGTTTTTCAGCGTTCGAGCTCATCACACCTGGACAATCAGCAACAAGTTCTTGATCGCGATGCCCACGGAGATGGACCTCCTGGAATGGCCGTCATCAGAAGGGTCCTCTTGGTGAGGATCGTAGCAAAAGGTCCCCTGCACAGCAGAAGGCAGAGCAAGGAAGGCGAGTGACCAAAACGAAAAAATGGACGCATGCGAAGACAGTACATCGGCTACCAAAGCGCGGCCTGTTCTCTAGCAGATTTTGAGTCAAATCGCTCCTTCCGCCATGAGATACAATTGCTCGAAAACTGAGCAAGAGCTTGCCTCGTACCTCAGGGTTGGCGGTGACGGGAGTAGTCGCGGCCCAAAAAATGGCTAGGGTGGGCCTGCAAGAAATGATTCGGGGTATGGGATTGCGTGCAGGAATGCATTGGCCGTGCACGACTCCACTGAGAAAACGCTGTACCTGGTTCCAAACGTGAACGTCTCTCTGCAAGCGAAGGAATCAAAAGCAAGCGAAAAATCGGACTGGTCGCCGTTGTCAGGCGAGATGTTGATCCGTGGGAATAGATCCGGGTTGAGTCGCTACCCATCAATGCCTGTAAGGATTCGCCCAGTATTCGGCGTACTGGATAGCTCTGCGAAGAATTAGTGAGAGCGCGAATGCTTCCAAGCAATCACCGCGAGCACGGCCCGTGCATCCTGCCGGCTCTATCGTGACAGCACACTGTCGCACAGTTACACCATGGGTCGCGCACTGACGTTGGGAACGGTGAACGGTCGGAAAAGGTGTTTTTTCGTCCATTCCAACGTATGTCCCCCCCAACTTCTTGAGGGCCTTCCGCTTCGTGCGCAAGGGCTCGTGCAGATATTTCCGTCGTTCTGCAACACGCCACCATCAGCACTTTATCGTGCGCAGCCATGCAAGAGCGGACGTGCATCATACTACTACGGTTTTTAAGCTAAATAGTTCTTTCTCACAGAATCAGGCACGCGTAGAGTCGGGACACCCAGATGGCGCATCTTTCCCAGCAGGCACGTCTCGTGTGGCCGTTAGTGAGATGCACCTCAGCCAGTAGAAAAAGCACCAGACATGCCTGTCGTGCGATGGTCAACGAACGTCAAGCAGAGGAACTGCGAGGGTGTGCGTGGGAGAGTGTCGTCTTCATGGGTATCAAACTTGACACTTTTTGCGCCCCGAATGAGCACTGGGATCATTCGTTATACAAAATGATTTGAAAAAGGAAAACATGGTGGGCAAAACCGAGAACACGATTTACCCGTAGACACCACTCAAAGAGAAATTATGACAGCCACTGGCCCGACAGAGAGTGGCGTGCGCATTGTGTCTCGCTTTCAGGCCGCTTGCCAAAGGAACACCTTGATTGGCACCCGGACCAAAAATTCAAAATTTCCCCCCGACCATGCAACGTCATTTTACTGACATCGGAGAGCAGGGCCATAATCCCCACGATCCGGTGCGTCACGCCGCACAGAGAATCCGATACGGGCAGCGTGTACATGGCCACCCCGGCAGCCAGAGAAAAGGTCGCTGTCACGTGCATGCTCAGAAGCCAGCGGTGAAGGCTCCTGGCCACACAAACCAGGAGAAAACAAACGGATGAAGAAGGGCAAAACGAACGATTGTTAAGTCCGACCCGTGCAGCCCTGGACGATCAACAATGGCCGAAGAAAGCGAAGGAGGGAGCATCCAATACAGCCCTGGCAGACCAACCAAGGTCGGAGAAAGGAAGAGGAAACTAGCAACATCAACAACAACAACAACAATCGATCTACCGGAACGGAAGCTCCAGCCGAAAGTCGCCAAGCCGTTGCCTCCTCTGGTGTGCTATCCAATGCGCTGTGCCGGGAACACCCACGATCATCGGTTCTTCGGAAGAGAAAATAGTGCGGTCCTCGCACGAGATTGCACAGCCAGTTGCTCAGGCCCATACTTGGGCCATCGGATCGCCCCGCGAAAACATACAGCAGTGCATATGTATCCTGCTCTCACTACTGCGTGAAAATCAAGTTTCGTCGATGCTTTTAGATGCGATATCAGGTCGCTGGTACCCATGGTCGTGACGCCAGTATCTCTTGTGAGGGGTTGTTTTGTCCTCGGTACCGCCTTTTCAGGAGAACATACGGTCGCCCCGGTGGTCGGGTTAGTATCCTCGACACCTTCTAGAGGTCAGGTCAGGGATTCGAATCCCGGCGTAAGCGAGCTTTTCTTGCAAAGTGAGTTTTTCTCTCGCTTCCGCTCTTGGCCTAGGGGATAGCGCTAGTTCGTGTATACACAGAGGGAAGAGAGTGCTGAACTCTTCTCGCATTAAAAATCGAAGGCAAAGTACCGCAGGAGGGGAGCATAGAGAGGGGCTCTTCTGTGTGACCACGGGTTGGAATAAACGGCACTACTAGTAGTGCCGTGAGCGCTGATTTGAAGTCAAGACAAAATATATTTATATATATATATATATGGCGAGCCGTAATTCCATAAAGTGTAGTTGCGGCGTCAGTGCAAACCAAGCCACGGTTAATATTTAGGTGTGAGCGACAATACTTTGGTTTTCGACGCTCACGAGGTGGTGTACGGGAAACAACAGGCGGTCATGGGGAGCGGAAACGGGATGCTCTTCAAGGTAGTCACAAAATATTCCGGGATTTTGTCACCTTCGCTCTTTCAGTGTCATGCTCGCTCCCCCCCTGCTCTTGCTGAGATTCAGCGCCAAGACTACCTTCCATAGGAAGTGTACGAAAAAATCCTAGTCTTGAAGCGACCCTGTCCCCCCCTCAAAAAAAACAATCAAGACATGAGATTGAGATAGCCAACCACAAGCAGCACCGGTCTTAACACACACATTACTCCTACAGAGTATCCTCTACTGATCAAGACATTAACTGTAGCACCCCCTAGACTCTACGCGGGAAACTCAACGCTAAGCGGTTTTGCCTGTATTATCTTGATTTTAGAGTTGGGAGAAAAAACGCCTTGATTACAGACTGCTTAGTTCGAGGTAGACCACGTGATTCGTATGTATAGAGCAGCTCCTCTCGCCGTTGGGTGAGCAAACCATCAGATTTCTTCTGACGCAACGCTGCCCAACTCCCTGAGGGTCTGCTGTGTGATTGATGGGTGCTATTGTTAAGGAGTGTGGCTGCTGCTTGAATAGGGTACATCTTATTGTTGATAGGATATGGGTCGGTCCCAGGAGGTATACCCTTCAGACCCCTACCCTCTTAGAATTGTCTAGTCTGTGTACCCCCGAGGTGAAGTTGGATCCCCACTTCACCTCAGACCCTTGCTGATCGTCTCTCAGCAATAACAAGCAACTTTCCCATCTCAACTTGGTCGTGGACAAGCGTGTCAACGACAGAACCTACCTTCATCTATCTCTAGGAGCAAGCTACCGCCCACGGCTTCACCTCCTATAAACTTGGCGTCAGCGGCAGGATCGTCGGTGTTGTTTGCCTCTGAACACTTGGAAAAAGAGTTCCCCAAGTTTCGTCGGTGTTGCTTTCCTCTGAACACTTGGAAACCGAGTTCCCCGTGTTCCCCTGGTTCGCCCTTTAGCCAACTAATTTTTATTTTATTTTTTTCCTTTAGCTCCATCGTGCCGCAGACGTGTCGCCTATGCTTATTGCTTCGGGATTCCATCCCGTTGCGTCGTCTTCTCCCGTGGACTTTCGTCCTCATCCACACTTCGTTCTACTTCGTCTCCGTCATCGCTACATGCCGGCGACGCCTTCATCATCGTCGAGCCCCTGAGTCGTTGTGTTGTTGTGTGTATCTCTGCGACTTTTCTGTGTTTTATGTCGTCTTTGTATGTTGTGTATCGCCAGCGAGACAGAGCGCGGTTCGTCAGATCGCTTCTCCGACATTGATCATTCATGCTTTGCATCCTTGGTTTTCTTTAGGTCTTGCCGTTGCCGCCTCTCTATACGGTTTGGGTTCCGCGACACGCTGGAAATTGTTTTCGGTGCGTTTGCCTGTCGTTCATTTCTCCTGCCCTCCCTTGACGTTTTCCTAGATTGCGTTGAGTTTTTCCCCTTTACGTCGCGTCCAGTATCAAAGGTCGTTTTCGTTCGGAAGTTTGCTTGGGTTTTGAGTTTTGTTGCCGTATTTTGGACTCTCTCGTGTAGTCACCCTCATTCCTCCCGTTGTCATACGCGCGGGTGCGCGTAAATGAGTGGTGTGTGGCGTTTGGACTTTGATTTTGATTCCCTTGTCGTCGTCTGTTGGGGATAGCGTGCTCTGCAGCACTACAATATATTCTTTTTGGTCCCTTCATTGGTATGTGCGTTGTCATTGAGATGTCGATGTGTGGTCTCGTGACCGTTCGCATCCATCTTTCGTCTCAATGATGGTGTGGGGGTTGATTCGGGATATTTCTACAACTCACCCTCCGTTTGGATGTTTTGTGAAGAGTCATATCTTCGATTCATGAGCATAAATCGTTAGCTAAATCTTTATTGTAGCTTTTAGGATTTGAGCATTGATTTGAGTATAGAATCTGCATATATATATGATATTCAGGGTGGGCTAGTGTTGAGGAGTGTGGCTGCTAGCTTGAATAGGGTACATCTTATTGTTGATAGGATGTGGGTCGGTCCCAGGAGGTATACCCTTCAGACCCTTACCCTCTTATAATTGTCTAGTCTGTGTACCCCCTGAGGTGAAGTTGGATCCCCGCTTCACCTCAGACTCTTGCTGATCGTCTCTCAGCAATAACAAGCAACTTTCCCATCTCAACGTGGTCGTGGACAAGCGTGTCAACGACAGAACCTACCTTCATCTATCTCTAGGAGCAAGCTACGGCCCACGGCTTCGCCTCCTTTAAACTATCTATGTAGTTCGGATGTATTCAAAATCGATGAGCAGACCACAGGTTTTCACCGGACCCTTAAAATAAAAAAATAAATAAAAATATATTGGAAATTAAATTCCTATTTTTGTTCTGCAATAGTTTGGAGGCCGCTAATTGGTCGAAACTAAGTTTCGCCCATAGCGCTGCCGCCAGGGCATGGCTCGTAAAAGACAAATAACCTTGCCTTGTTGCTCCTCAGGAACCTAACGATACCAGTTTCGTGTCAATTGGGTCGGCATTGGGCCCCCAGAACAGGGGTTTGACGCTGGCTCTTTTCTCATACTTCAATCCACAACATAAGAAAACAACCTTCCCGCAGGAGGTACCTGGTAATTAGTACTGTCATCAGTAGAGGACATCATGTGAAGAGGTGTTGTGCGTGCTGGCACGTTCAGGTTTGCTACTGGAGCTGAAATATCGAAGGTTGCGGCAGTCTCTGAAAACAGTCCGAAATCTGCGC